ACAAGGCGGAGAAGGAGTGGCCCGTCAAGAACCTGAAGGTCTACCTGGGCATCAAGAAGAAACTCCGCCCGCCGAGCTGGTGAGCCTCCCTTCGGGGGGCGGCCTGGAGCCCCGACAGGAACGGGTGGGGATGGCCTGAGTTGAGACAGACCATGGAGACACGAGGGAAGCGGGCGCAGGGCGTGTCCACTGACGCAACGCGGTGTTTCCTCCTCTGGGGTGGTTGGTGGCAGAGAGGCCTGTCGCTCGCTCGGTTCCTCTGATCGCCGCCTGCTTTCGAGACACGAGGGAAGCGGGGCGCAGGGCGGGCCCACTGGCGCAGGGCGGCGTTTCCTCCTCTGGGGTGGTCGATGGCAGAGAGGCCTGCTGCTCGGTTCCTCTGATCGCCGCCTGCTTTCCTGCCGTGCCGGGTTTGGGGTGTGAAGAAGGGGCCCTCGGTCCCAGGGATCTGCAGCTGGAGCGCGGCTCACTTGCTGTGTGGCGGAGGCTGGAAAGGGCGCTTTGGGGAGGAGTCGCTCCCTGAATTCCCTCCTAGTGGGCGGCCATGCGGTCCGGAGTGGGCGCTGTAATCCTCCAATGACAGTACAGTGCAGTGCCCAGAGTGACTAACTGGGGCTCAGGAGGCCTGGCTTCAAATCCCCGCTCCGCTATGGAGACTCCCTGGGGTGTGTGTGTGTGTGAATGGCAAAGCCACTCTTCAAAGATCTCACCTCGAAAGCCCTCTGGAGGTTGCTCTAATTCAGCTCCCACTCGACAGCAGTACAGTACAGGGAGAAGGACATGGGGGGTTGTACCCAGTGTGGTGTAGTGGATGGAATGACCCACAAGGCCTGGGTTCGAATCCTTGCTCAGCCGTTTGTACCCAAGGTGGTGTAGGGGATGGAATGACTCGCGATGCCTGGGTTCGAATCCTTGCTCAGTCGTGGAAGCTCCCTGGGGGAGTAGAACTGCTGGACCCACTCCTTGTAGGGTTTTCACTGCCCTTGAAAGCCCTTGTTAAGGTCAGTATTAAGTTGGTTCTAACTTGGATGGCGCAGAAGAGCAAGAGCTGAGCCCTCAAGGGGATGACTTGACTTAAGTTGTGCCTGGAAAGGTGGCTCGGAGGGCCTGGATCCAACCCCTGGGGGGGGGGACTGGTGGGTGTCTTGGCTGGGTGTCAGCTCGGGCTGTGGGGGGAGCATCTGGGGCCCAGGAATGGCTGAGTCAGACTGCTCCCCTCCCCCCGAATGAGTGGCAAAGACGTTCCCTATGGCGTTTCTTGGAACCCAACTGTGGAATGTGCCCGGGCAGACAGTGGGGCCCCCTTCCCAGCTGTGAATGCCACTGCTTTGCTGTGAGGGAACCGAGGGACTGCCCAGCTTCTGAGGCCAAGGGGTTTGGAGAGCTTGTCGTGTGGCCATGCCCGTTGGCGGCAACGCTTCGTCTTGCTTGTGGGCCAGGCGGGAAGCTTTGAAGGGTTGCTCCCAGGGCAGAGCAAGCGCTGAAACCCGAATCCAGGAGGATTGTTTCCTGCTGCAGGCGGGGGACCTTGCCTGCCTGCCTGCCTGCCGAAAGGGGACAGCAGGCAACCCCGAGTGCCATCAGGGGACCCGAGGCAGTCTCAAGCTGATCCGTGCCAGCTTTTGGCCACCAGGTGGCAGAGCCGGCCAACGAGAGACTCCGGGCTTCCAGGGGGCATGGCCGAGTCAGACTGCTCCCCTCCCCCCAAATGAGTGGCAAAGACGTTCCCTATGGGGTTTCCTGGAACCCAAAGGTGGAATGTGCCCGGGCAGGCAGTGGTGGGCCCCCTTCCCAGCTGTGAACGCCACTGCTTTGCTGTGCGGGAACCGAGGGACCGCCCAGCTTCTGAGGCCAAGGGGTTTGGAGAGCTTGTCGTGTGGCCATGCCCGTTGGCGGCAACGCTTCGTCTTGCTTGTGGGCCAGGAGGGAAGCTTTGAAGGGTTGCTCCCAGGGCAGAGCAAGCGCTGAAACCCGAATCCAGGAGGATTGTTTCCTGCTGCAGGCGGGGGACCTTGCCTGCCTGCCTGCCTGCCGAAAGGGGACAGCAGGCGACCCCAAGTGCCATCAAGGGACCCGAGGGAGCCTCAAGCTGATCCGCGCCAGCTTTTGGCCACCAGGTGGCAGAGCCGGCCAACGAGAGACTCCGGGCTTCCAGGGGGCCGATGATGCACGAGTGAGCGAGCAAGCAAGCAGTCAGGCTGCAGAATGCAGCAGCATTCCTCTCCTAGCTAGAAAAGGGAGCCAGTGGCATGCGGGGCTGACTGGGGTGGAGAGGTTAGGTCCATTACCGGGCAGGAGAGGCTGGTTTGGAGAAGAACATGAGACGCAGAGGGTTTCCTGAGGCTTCGTTGCGTGGCGCTTCTTTCCCACGTTTCCTCCAGCAAGCTCAGGACAACCTGTGGGCCTCTTCCCTGCCCCACAACAAACCTGTGAGGTAGGCCAGGCTGTGAGGACGTGGCCGGCTCAGGGGGACCCAGTGAGTTTCGTGGCCAAGGAGCGGGTCGGACGCCAAGCTCCAGAACCTCAGCCTGATTCTCTAACTGCTCCAACACACTGGCTTTCATCGGTTGAACCCCCATCGGCTACTAAGGGGAGCCGGGGGGAGCGGAACGTCAGATCCGTAAATCACTGTTTGCTTTGGGGTTCACTGCCTGGCTCCTGTAAGATGGGATGGAATGCTTTTGCAACAGGGTGAAGCCAGAGGGTGTGTGTGTGTGTTTCCATGTGCAGAATTGCATGAAAGACCATCACACCCATGCCCGCCGTCTGCGTCCTCTTCTCTAACCTGCCCAGGACAATTTTTATGTAGCAAGTCTGCGTACGCTACACGCTTCGTAAAACTGGCAGGTTGTTCATTTTGGAGGCCTGGGTAGCTCGGTGGTTTAAGCATCTGGATGCAGAGCCAGACATTGGGAGTTCGATTCCCCCCACTGAGCATCTCCCGGGAGAAGATCCAGCCTGCGTAGCCTTGGGCCAGCTGCACGGTGGTCCTGGGATGTCCCCCCAGAAGAAGGGAAGGGGGAAACCACTTCGGAGTGCTCTCTAGAAGTCAGAAGTCAGAAATGCACATGACAGCACATGATTATTAGCTGGCTGGATAAGTTCTGTGGTTTAAGCATCTGGATGTGGAGCCAGAGGTTGGGAGTTCAATTCCTGCCCCCACCCCCCACCCCCCGGGGCCTCCTGAGACAAGAGCCAGCCTGGGTGACCTCGGGCAAGCGCCAAAGTAGTTCCAGAACTGCCTCCAGAAGAAGACAACCCACTTCTGTGTCTTCTGTGTCTGGAAAACCCTAGAAAATGGTTGTGTTAAGTCAGAAATGACTTGATGGCAGATATGATGATAATTATTAGTAATGGTAGCAAGGTTTCAAGGCAGGTTGAGAATAAAGAACCCTCTTTTTTGTGGGAAGGGTGGTGGATGTGGTCCTACTCGCGCCTAACCTCTCCTATGTCGCTCTCTTCCAGCTGGGGGTTCACCGTCTTCTTCGAGAATGAGAAACTGGAGAAGCAGCAATGGTAAGGGCCCCGAAGCAGGCAGACAGACAGACAGACAGACAGACAGACAGACGGATGGCTGTTATTTAAGACCGATATTATTTAAGACAGGGGTTTCTTGTCATTGTTTGTTCTTGCAAGCTAGCTATTTTGTGGACCCGAGGGCCAAATGTTTTGCCCCTGGGACTTGTCCCAACCAACATGAAGCCCCCCCAAATACCCGCATCGCCTCCTGTTTTAAGCCCGTCTGTCCTGCCCCAAAGGGTGTCTTGGAAATGCAGGTTTATCTATTCCTCGGGATCCAGGTTCTGCTCTTAAAAAACCCAGCTGAGAGGAAATTCTCGGGCAGGTCGGCCTTTCTGAGGCGGGCATATACATTTCAAGGCAGATGTAGCCCAGTGTGTTCGATGTTCACGTTTTGGGGTCTCCTGAATGGCTGCGAGGCTGGTGTGGCATTTGGGGAAGTTATTTGGTGTCCTAAGTTATGCTGGCTGAGAGAGTAGGAGGGAGAGGAAAAAAAAGGTAACTTTTCCCATCTCTGGGCTGGTGTTCCCTGCAGGAACACCAAACCACCACAACAAGGCAGAAATAAAAAATAAAAGCGAGGGTATCGCGGCAGCTTAACGATAAAGAGATTTATGTCTGTGTGTTTCTTCATGGGTTACCATCCGTGTCCTGAGACATGTGAAGGGAAACAGTGAGTCACAGATACGCATACAAGGACAGCTGGCCGGACAGCTCAGTGGTTTAGTTACCTGGATGCGGGACCCGGGGTGGGGAGTTCGATTCCCCACCACCGGGCTTCCGATGAGTAGAGCCAGAGCCTGGCTGGCCTTAGGCAAGCGACACGCAGTCCCAGAGGAAGGGAAGGGAAAACCACTTCGGAGTATTCCTCTACTTGGAAAACCCTGGAAAGGGTCGCCGTAAGTCAGAATGGACTTGAGATCACATAATAATACGTAATAATGATTTTACGTGGTGGGAGAGGATATCGGCTGTATTGTACAGGATGGAGTGAAAGTCTAGGACTCTGGAGGTCTGGGTTTGAATTCCCGCAGGGTGAGTATGGTGGGAGAGGATATTGGCTGTATTGTACAGGATGGAGTGAAAGGCTAGGACTCCGGGGGTCTGGGTTTGAATTCCCGCAGGGTGAGTTAGTGGTGCAGGCACTGCTTGGGTGCAGGAACTCCAGACCAGGCAGCTGGAAACTCTGTCACCGAAAAAAGAAGCCGCCTGGACACTTCTTCCGTCGCAGCCGCAGTTCTTAGGGTGGCCTTCCCTCGCCTGCTGTCCTCCCCGGCCTTTGGACTATGGCTGCCCTCGGCCCCTTTCGTTGTGACCGGTGGTCACGAATCATGGGAGCTGTAGTCTCAAAGCTCAGGAGGACGCCTCGAGGAGGATGAGGGTTTTTAAGGAGAGGTTTTAAGGGGTTGGAATACCAAGAGGCTTTGCGACAGCTGGAAGGTCGGCGGCGGAGGTCAGGGTTTGCGTTTTGGGCACCTTTTTTTTCATCCCAATGGTTCGTTCAAAGATAGGGACAAGAGTCCGTCATAACTGAGAGCACCGTTAAAGGGTGTCGTCGGCCGCAAAGCCGTTGAGAAACCCACCACCCTCTCAGCTCGGGGGCCGTGAAAGTTTCCTGCTTCCCGGAATTTGGAGAAGATCCCTTTTCAAGAAAACTTCTTACACCCGCCAGTGGTTCTGGGAGTTCTCGTTCCCAAGGAGGCGTTTGCCAAAGCCCTGCTCCGCGCCACCCCGTCGGCCTGTGCTTGTCACGAGGCCTGGCTCCGGCCGTGTCCCTCAGTTGCCGGCGCTTGGCCGGCCGCAGTCCCGGTGTGTGGCTGTCAGTGTGATTCCCGCCAGCCGTGTGGCGCCCAGCGTGGCGGCATGGAAGGGACACGGGTGAGCCAGTAGGTGTGCCACAAACACAGCGTGTCTCTGGTATCCTGTGGCCACCTGGGCATTCCTGCCCAAGACGGCCTTGTTGCTGTTTGCAGTGGGAGAGCCGAGGGGTCCCTTTCGTGGCTCCATCACGCTCCCTTCCTGTCCTTTCGCCTTCCCCTGCAGGTATCTGTGCTGCGAAACCCAGATGGAGCTCCGGGATTGGTTCGCCACTTTCCTTTCTGTGCAGGTAGGTAATGGTCGTAACCAGGTTGGGGGGGGGCATCGAGAGGGAGGGTCCCCCCAAAAGCATCCCCTTTCCGCTCTCCCTGATTCAGAACTGAGAGGCAGGCTCCCAAATTCCCCCAGCCTGCATGGCTCCGTGGGGGCCACCCAAATTGCAACCACGCTGCACCCTCATTTAAGCCGCCATTCCTTGTCCTGGGAGCGTCCCTCTCGTGGGCCCCCTCAGCTCTTTCCTTCCTTCCTCCTCTTGGACCACGTGGGGCTGGAAACCAGCGACCAGCCTGGCCTCTTCTGAGCCTTGCAGAGGAGATAAGCCCCGGGTCCGAAGGGATCCGTGTTCCAGAGCAGACCGGCATCCATTATGCAGACAGAAGCCTCTCACGCAGGCTTTTTCCTTGCATAATTCATGGCACTCCTGGTCGTCCCAGGCAGGGAGCGCTGCAAAAGACCCCCCCCCCAAAGTATTCTCCCCAGCCTTATTCAGCTGCTTCGGCAGCTCCTGACAGTGAGGGAGGGCAAAAGCAGTCGATTCCTTTTATTAGAAGATGACCCTGGGGGTTAAGCCTCTCACGCAGGCTTTTTCCTTGCATAATTCATGGCACCCCTGGTCATCCCAGGCAGGGACCGCTGCAAAAGACGCCCCCCCCGCCCCCAAAGTATTCTCCCCAGCCTTATTCAGCTGCTTCGGCAGCTCCTGACAGTGAGGGAGGGCAAAAGCAGTCGATTCCTTTTATTAGAAGATGACCCTGGAGATTTGTCTTGAGCGTCTTGGCTTTGTTCTCTGCCTAAAGATGGCCTTCTTCCTGTTCTGGCCCCAAGTGGCTCCTGGAGCGTGGCTGTCTGTAGCCTTTAGCCAGGCAACTGGTTGCTCTCCAGTTGTGCTGTGCTGGCTGGTGTCTGTATGTGTGTGTGATGGGGCTTGTAGTCTGGTGGGTCTGGAGCACACACAAGGTACCGTATTTTTCCATGTATAAGACTATCGTCTAGTCATGTCCGACTCTTCGTGACCCCATGGACCAGAGCACGCCAGGCCCTCCAATCTTCCACTGCCTCCCGGAGTTGTGTCAAATTCATGTTGGTTGCTTCAATGACACTGTATATGACTATACTTTTGTCTAAAATCTTTAGACTAAAAATCGAGGGCCGTCTTATACACGGAAGTAAGCTGAGGAGGGAACAAAAACAAGTGGAGGAGAAAGCAGGGATCAAAGCGATCCTGCAGTGCTTTGATCCCTTTCCCCTTACACTTGCTAAGACCCATTTAGATTTCTTAATTTTGGATTAGAAAAGTGGGGCATTTTATACATGGGGGCGTCTTATACATGGAAAAATACGGTATAATGTCCCCTAGCTCTCAGCAGGTGCCTGGTAACCAGATGCCACTCTCCTCTAGATAATGGGGCTGGTCTCTGCTAAGATGTTCCTTCCCACCAAACACCCCTTCCCACCTTGTCTACACACACTCCTTCCGCAAACCTTCCCTTTCCTAAAGCTTCATCCCCTTGCTCATCTTTTCCCGTTTGGCCCCTTCCCCCCTTTTCACCCAGGTGCAGGCCCCCACCTATCTTCTCCACCAGAGAGAAGTTTTAGAAACTCTAAGGCATGGAGCGTGACATGTGGAACCAAGTCAAGTCGCGCTGTTTAGAACTTCGGTACCCAGACTTATCCTTCCAGTGTCTCTTGGCACCTCCCTCTTTCCAAACAGCCAGTATTCGGGGAGTCAGGAGTCCAGAAAAGGAACTTTTTAAAGATGAATACACAAATACTAAAAAGGGTCAGATAAGCACCATATTAAAAAGCAGTAAGCAAAAGCAACACCAAAACACATTCAAAGCAGTAAAAGGCACAACCATCCATTTTAAAACTCCAATTGGCAGCCAGTCGTTCAGGGAAAGCTTGCCTGAAGAGAAAGGTCTTGGCCTGCTTGTGGAAGGACAGTCAAGGGGGGGGCAGGCTGTCCTCCAGTGGGAGGGAGTTCCAGAGTCTCTGGGAATCACGGGAGGAAGGCCTCCCCCTGAGGATCTGAATGCCCCAGCAGACTCATAGAGGGAGATGAGATCGTTTGGATCCAGACCGTTTAGGGCTTCATAGGTGAGAACGAGAACCCTTTACAAAGGGCACAGTCGTTTTACGAAAACCTTGTGCAAGGAGTCAGGCAGCCCTTCTCCTTCTGCCCTTTATCTCTTGCCTTCCCTTTTCCCCTTCTTCCCAGCATGGGGGCAACGTGTGGCCTTCAGAGTCGTCCAAGATCCGGGCTTCCCGGACTCCGCAGGATTCCCGGCTGGGGAACATCTCTCTGATCCCACTTCGGGGCAACGAGAACGAGATGAGGAACAGTGTCGCTGCCTTCTCAGCCGACCCTCTGACGGTGAGCACGGCATTCAGACCTTTCTCCTGAGCACCCTGTCTCGCTTGGGGATGTGCAGGACCTGGGACTGAGCTGATCCCTGTGGGGTGTGTAGCGTGCCAGGAAGAGAACAGCGTCCAACTGGCCTGGGAGAGGCAAGGGGCTTCTGAAAGCCATGCCAGATGGGCTTGGTCCACTCTGGATCTTCTTCGGTGTCAGAGATTTGGGATCTGAAGCCTTAAAAGGCAAACCAGTCTCAGGTTGAAATCCAGGTTTGTTTGTTTTTTGACACTCAGGATTTTAATTCCTGCACATCCTCAGAAAATTATATATTCACAAGGAAGCTACTGTGAGCTGTCTCGGCAGCTTTGGCCTTCCTGGGGTCAGTAAATGGCTGAGTTGTTTCCAATGTCCATTGTAGGCCATACGGCGAATGAGAGCAGACGAGGTATGGACTTACGCAGTACGCTGTTCTAGCCATTCGATTGCCCGTCAGCTGCCGTGACTCCATCCTGCACAACTCGTGGGTTGGGGAGAGACTCGAGCATTCTCAGCCAGGGGGCCCTTGTGCCACCCTTGAGCTATAAGAGGGGCCCCTCCCCAGCAAACAAGGAACCTCGTGGACGTGACAGGGCTGAGCCATGCCAGCTAGCGTGGGATCCAACGGATGTAATGGTGTCGTGTAGACTCGCTCTAGCTGGGCCTGGCATCATACACAAAAGCACTAGTCCCTCTCTATTTGGCACTGGTGAGGGCTCCGCTTGAGTCCCGTGTCCAGTTCTGGACGCCACACTTTAAGAAGGATGATGAGAAACTGGAGCAAGTTCAGAGGAGGGCGACAAGGAGGACCAGGGGGCTAGAAAACCACACCCTAGGTAGGAGGAAAGACGGAAAGAACCAGGCATGTTACCCTTGAGAAATGAAGACCGAGCAGAGATACAATAGTGCTTTTTCAAATCCTTGAAAGGCCGTCCTACAGCCTAGAAAACCAAGCCCTAGGTAGGAGGAAAGACAGAAAGAACCAGGCATGTTATTACCCTTGAGAAAGGAAGACCGAGGGGAGATACGATAGTGCTTTTTCAAATCCTTGAAAGGCTGTCCTACAGAGGAGGGGCAGGATCTGTTCTTGATCATCCCAGAGTGCAGGACAGGCAACCATGGGCTCAAGAGATAGGAAGCCAGATTTTGACTGGATTTCCGGAAAAACTCCCTAACTGTTAGAGCAGTACGACAAGGGAACCCATGACCTCGAGAGGTGGTGGTGAGCCCCCCAACACTGGCGGCCTTCAAGGGAAAACTGAACCACCGACAGTCAGATGTGCTTTGATCTGGATGCCTACAGTAGGGATGGGCACAAAGGTTCGTAGGTTCGTGCCAGTTCGTATGTACCGCACGGGTGGTGCCCTTTGTTCCCTTCCCCCGCCTCCCTGGCTGGATCTGCCCTGTGTTCCCTTCCCCCGCCTCCCTGGTTGGATCCCCCACTCCCGAGCGGGCGCACACTCCTCTCCTCCTTGTCTTCAGCTGTTTAGCCAGCCTCCGGCAGGAGCGCCGGCTCCCCTGGCCTGCTTCCTCGGCGGCTCGCTCCCTCAGGCAAGGGGGCAGGACAGGCAAACCTGTGAACTGGTCTAGCAATCAAAGAGGAGGACCGAGTGGGCGCGCACTCCTCTCCTCCTTGTCGGCTCGCTCCCTCGGGCAAGGGGGCAGGACAGGCAAACCCGTGAACTGGTCTAGCAATCAAAGAGGAGGAGGAGGAGGAGGAGGAGGAGAGGCACATGCTCCAACTGGTGAGTGGGGAATTGGCTGGGGAGGTGGAGGACGGGAACACGCAGCACCTGTGGTGTCGGGCATACAAACCGACACGAACCTCCGAACCGAGGTTTGTGCCCATCTGTGCCCTGCTTTGAGCAGAGGGTTGGACTCGACGGCCTTACCGGCCCTCTCCAACTCAGTTCTTCCACGATTCTGTGTTTGTGCTATAATGAGGAAACGTTGACGAAACCTCCGAACCTTACCGGCCCTCTCCAACTCAGTTCTTCCACGATTCTGTGTTTGTGCTATAATGAGGAAACGTTGACGGGGCCACATTTGTTTACGGAGAGAGGTGATGATATCACTGAGCCTTTGATAAACCCAGAGTGTCCCTTTCCTTTCATTTGGGCAGCTGGGGCACCAGTGGAGGACTCAGGAGGGAAACGGGGTTTTCTCGTTCTGTGTCTGCGTTCTTCTGCCTACTGATAATTATTTAATGGCCCTCTCCATTCCCCCCCCCCTTGCTTTACGACCACGTTTCTGCCTGCCTCTTGTGCCTGAAGCGCTCCCCTTTCTCAGCGTGTTTGCCTACCTCGGCGTGCTGATGATATATTTGCATATTTCTGTTTGCCTCTTTCCGTCTGCCTCTGGTTTCCAGAACGTTTGCAGAGGGCGACCTTTGTGAGGACTCACGCCCAGCCACTCTCAAAACACACACAACTCTTTGTGATGGTGTTGAGTCGGGCACACTGCCTCCGTGAGCCCAGCCGGCGCCCTGTTAATTTTTAAAAAACGGTCTTGCTGGGCTGGACGCAACGTTTGTGAGGTCCAGCGTCCTTCCTGCTTCTCAACAAAAGCTGGCCAGGCGCTTCTGGAGGCCCACCGTAGGGCACAGAGGCAGCAACTCTCTGGCCTTATTTATCTCCAGCCTTTGGTACTCGGGGCCAGCTCCTTCTGAACATGGAAACTCCCTCTTGTTCTGAAAGATCCTCCGTGATCTGTTGTACTCCTTCTGGAAAAGCTCCACAATTCAGGGTCCCCCCCCCATACCTTGCGTGCTAGAGAACTAAATGGGCATCTCCGGCTAAAGACGGCCAGGGGAAATAGCTCCTAGGCCTGAACGGTTTCCTTCAAATGCCCCGAAGGAGTACATTCCCCTGGGGTGTGGGGTGCTGCTCCTGCAGAAAGCACAGGATCACCCGTGGGCGGTGAGGAGGAAGGCCTTTGGCGCCAAGCCAAGGAGGTGAAGTCCTCTGTGAGCTCTAAAACAGCAGGTGAGGGATTCAAGTCAGAAGTTCTGGAAGGAAGAAGATGCTAAAAGCCATGGCTGAGGACAGGCACCATAAGAGAAAAAAAAATTCTGCGCCAAGGAGGCAGTTTGCCCACCACCGGGTGAGCTGAAATCCCTGGAAACGTCACCTCTCGATTCATTTTTGTTTGTCTGTTTCCCCTGGGAACCCCCCAGCGGTCTGTCTGATGAGTCTGGGCACCAACCAGCTTCATCAGACAAGGTTGATGTCTGATGAGGCTGGTTTTCATGTTGAAAAAAAAAAGTCTTGCTTCCTCTTGACCTTCTCTCTCTTTTCTCTTCAGCTCCTTCGGGATGTTTGAAGCTGGAAGACGAACACGCCAGGTAAGGCTCGCTCACGGTGGGCCCCGGTGACATCCTTCTCCTGGTGGGCCCTGGGAGAGTCCTGAGCAGCTCTCCAGCCCTCCTGTCTCACCAAAAAGTTCCCAGCGTCTAAATATTCTCCAGGGTGATCTGGCAGTTCAGCAGTAACGACAGGCAGGGGGTTCGTACAGATGCAAAAAGCTGGCATGTGGCCAAGGGTGATGAAAAAAGTCTCTTCGGATGGGGTCAGGGACAGAGTGCCTCTGATGAGCTTCTCAGTGTGCACGTGCGCACACACACGCACGCACGCACGCAAAAGTTCCCAGCGTCTAAATATTCTCCAGGGTGATCTGGCAGTTCAGCAGTAACGACAGGCAGGGGGTTCGTACAGATGCAAAAAGCTGGCATGTGGCCAAGGGTGATGAAAAAAGTCTCTTCGGATGGGGTCAGGGACAGAGTGCCTCTGATGAGCTTCTCAGTGTGCACGTGCGCACACACACGCACGCACGCACGCACAATGCCTCTAATGAGCTTCTCAGCACGCACGCACGCATGCGCACGTGCGCACGCACACACACACGCACGCACACACACACACATACACACACAGACATTAAAGAAGAGATCTGTTTCATCTTCTATTCCCAGAGACTCAGCCCTGAAACCCACTCAAAAGCTAACCCGTGAACTGCCATTCCCAAGGAATATGAGCCCACAGGGGTGACATGGCTGCAAAAAAGGCCAATGCCATTTCAGGATGAGGAGGTCCTAACAAAACTATAGTCTCCCCATCTCATAGTACTCCTCTGTTCAGCACGGGCGAGGCCTCATCCTGGAGTCCTGTGCCCAGTTCTGGACACCACACTTCAGGAAGGATGCTGACAGACTGGAACAAGTTCAGAGGGAGGGCCACAAGGATGATGATCAGGGGCCTGGAAACCAAGCCCTAGGAGAAGGAAAGGCTGAAGGAATTGGGCATGTTTAGCTTTGAAAAAAAGAAGACAGAGGAGAGCACTTTTCAAATATTTGAAAGGACGTCCTACAGAGGAGGAGCAGGATCTGTTCTTCAGTCATCCCAGAGTGCAGGATTCATAATAAGTTACAGAGTTACAGAGAAGTCAGGTTTTGGTTGAGTATCAGGAAAAAACATCCTAACTGTTAGAGCAGTAAGACAGTGGAACTCATGACCTCAGGAGGGGGTGAGTGCTCCAACGCTGGAGGCCTTCAAGTTGAAATTGAACAACAGTCCGTCAGGTCGGCTTTGATTGGGATCCCTGGCTTGAGCAGGGGGGGTTGGACGGGATGGCCCTTGAGACCCCTCCCAGCTCCATTGTTCAAGGATTCATCATTCTAGAACTGCTAAAAATGGCCCCCACGGCCCCCTGCCTTCTGCTTTTCCTCCCTCCGCAGCGTTCCCATGCTCTTTCCAGCCACCTGGAGGTCACCTTCCTTTCTTTCCCTTTCTGTCTGCAGGTTTGTTTGCAAAAGACAAAAAAAAAAAAAGTGTGGAGGAGGTTGCCCGAAAAAGGAGCACTTTTCCAGCCGGGAAAGCTCGGAGGAGGGACTCTGGGAATGGAAGGCAGCCTCTTTTTTCCCCGAAGCCCCCCTTCCCTCCTCCAAAGGCCACACACACAGCAAGGGCAGAGGAAACAGACATGGTTTGTTGAAGGAATCTCCCAGCCGGCGGGACAGCTTCTAAAGTGGACCGGTCAACCCACGAGCCTCTGCTGGGTGTCTGCAACCCGAGTGGAACGAAACCGAGAGAGGTGCGGATGCCTCTCAGATCCGTGGCTGCCAAATCCACTCCCTGGCCAACTTTGGAACTGGGCACCGGAATCTTGCTGCCTTTTGGTCGCCTGGACCTTCACCCGGTGCCCGTGCGGCCGACTCCTTCTTTCTGTCTAGCGGAGCTTGGATGGCGTCTGTCCAGCCATCTGCAGGGGACAAAGAGCAAGGGGGATCTTGGGCAGCTTTTTGTTTGTTTTTTTGGTTTTTGCTGGGCTTCCCTGATCTTTGTTTTGGCCAGTGACGGTGGTGGGATCCATAAAGCCATGTGCAACGGAATCAGCTTTCCCTGATTCCAGTGCTGGTCCTGAAAGTGGACTGGGATAAGGAATGCCTGCCGCTTGTTGCTACTTCAGGGGAGAGCCTGCAAGGATAGGAGGGACCGATCGTCCTCCACCCTCTTTCCACGTGGCTTCAGTCAGTTGCCTTCCTGGGGATGGTGTCACGAATGCTGAAGCGTCCTCCTCTCTTCCCCACTTCCCGGATCAGGCTAGGGACCCCCATCCCGGCGGGTGGGTGGAGAGGAGCGAAAGACGCCAAACGCGGGCCCCCCCCAGGCTTTGTCCGTCGGGAGGGGATGGGGTGCAGGCGCTTCAAACCCGCCTGCTGTGGGATGGGGGGGGACAGGCAGCGGTGTCTCCAGTTCTTCCCGCGTACAGGAAAATGGAAGGCCACCCACCACCTCCGGGAAGCTGCGAAAAAGGGGCAGGCACCATCTTTCTCCAGCGGGGTTGTTCCTTGTCCGTCATCTTTTTGTAATATTAATAAATGTATGTGGAAGATCGTGGTGTTGTCTCTGGTGCCTTGCTCCTTCGGGGAGTCCACTATCCTCATGGGCTGCCAGCTCAGGACCGAGGACAGAAGGTCAAATGGAAAGTCCAGCCTCTTGGACAGCCGCGCTGCCGTCCAGATTCTCGACTCTTAACGTGGTGGTCCTGCAGCTGAAGGAAATGGGTTTTTTATAGCCTTTCCAGGAAGGGGCTGGGGAAAGGGGAGCTGTCCACCGGGTGTCAGCAGCTCGTCTGGATTCCAAGCAGCTGCTGGGGGGACCCCAGGGCTCGGTCAGGCTTCCCTTCCCTTTGAAACTTGGCCAACGATGGCATGAAAAATGAACCAAGGGCTGGCTGCCAGGGACAAGTCCCTCATTTTCTGCAGTGTCGGGATCTTTTTTTCCTGCAGGGCGAGACTCTCGGGGCGAGGATTTAGCTTGTGAGAGATAAAGGGGCCTTCGAGACTCGGAAGAGGCCGCTGGCTTCCTGCATTTTATTTCCTTAAGAGAATGCAGACCTCTGTAGAACGAATGATTGGTCTGGAGTAGAGATGGGCGCGAAGCGCTTGGTTTGGCGGTTCGTGACGGTTTGTTTAGTGTCCGAACAGGTGTCGGGCACTTCCTAGGCCCACTTCCTTTGGTGGGCGCCCACTCTGTGTGTGTGCGTGTGTGTGTGTGTGTTTGTGCACATGCAAAAAGAGTTGGCTCAAGTGCTGAGATTTTTTTTCTCTACTTTTCTCATCATTAAAAACCAAAACCATATATATACTTAAAAAAAAAAACAAACCCAACCCACACTTTTCTGCCATCATCCATTAACACCAATGCTGTGGTTGTGGCTTCAGCTCTAATGGAAGCCGGACCATTCCCTCCCTCCGTGTTGGGTCCCAGACCCCATTAGACGCCCTCAGCTATTAGGCTCCATTAGCAGGGAGAGGAGGGTGGGGAAGAGACAGAGGCGGCTGTGGCCGTGTGGGAATTGTGTCCTCCTTTTAGAAAGACAAGGGCCCTGACGTGGGTGGATGTGGAGAGGATGATGCTTTGATGGGATTCTCTGCTGGTAAGACAGGTGTGGGTGTGTGTATCTGTAAAGGAAACCGGCCTTAAGCTGGCCCAGGGTTGTTCCTTGTCCTGGATTTTGATCCCTGTCCAGTAAGATATGAATGAAAGCCAATAATAAAATGCATTTGTATTCTTGAAGGCTTTCACGGCCGGAATCCGATGGTGGTTGTAGGTTTTCCGGGCTGTTTGGCCGTGTCCTGGGGTTTTTTCTTCATAACGTTTCTCCAGTCTCTGTGGCCAGCATCTTCGGAGGACTGGAGTCAGAACTCTGTCTGTGTTCTGGTGTCATGTGTGGGATCAGCTTTTTGTCTTTTTCAGGAGATGGGGTGATTGTGGTGATCAGGGTGTTTTTTGTTATGGGTGTATTGTTGATCTGTCACTGTGATTGATGGGTGCTGTTAGCTAGTCTTTTGTGTGCAGTGATCCCCGGTCCTTGTGGCTGGGTAGAGCTCATTGACCTTTTTTGCAGGCTGTGTTTTTCAGTGCTGGGAGCCAGGCTTTGCTGAGTTTCAGACTTCTTTTTTGTTGAAGCTCTGCTGGTGTTTGTGGATTTTCACGGCTTCCCTGTGCAGTCTAACATAATAATTGCTGTTGTTGTCCAGTACTTCAATATTTTAAAATAGGATTTCATGTCCAGCTTGTTTCAGGGTATGTTCAGCTACTGCCAATTTTTCTGTTTGTTTTAGTCTGCAGTGTCTCTCATGTTCTTCGATTCTGGTCTGGATGCTGCGTTTTGTGGAAGTAGCGGATTGGAATGGAGGTTCAATGGTTTGATTCCTGCTTTTATTACCTCCTCCAGAGACTTCTTAAACACTATCAAGGAATAAGCCAGGACTGACCTAGAATAGCTGGCTTCTCAAGCATATGACTCACATGCAACAGGAATTCAATTCTTCCCTCTTGTGGCTTGGATAGCGATAAAGGCTTTTTGTCTCATAACGTGTGTTACTCATCTCATCCCTTCAGAGGCATCTGCCTCAAAACTTCACCATCTTCAGGTGAAACACGAACCAAATCTAAGCTAGTTCTGCATCTCTGTGGTATAAACCATCAAACAGGGCAAAGGAAGCAGGTCCACTCAAGGGAGAGTGGCGCCCTCGCTACACATTCCTCCTGTTGAAACCTGCTGTTTTTCAGGGTTCAGAATACCAAAGTATATGATGAGATTCCACAAAGGAAATGGGGAGATCAAGAACGTCACTCCCGTGTGAGGAAAAGGCAGTGCTGGTGCCAGCAAAAAAGGATACTGACCGATGGTTGTTGTGGGTTTTTTCGGGCTCTTTGGCCGTGTTCTGAAGGTTGTTCTTCCTAATGTTTGGGTTAGAATTTTTGAATTTTTATTTCTATTTTTTGAGATGTTAGGATCTGTCCTGAGGGAGCCTCAGTGGGCTAGGCACAAGCGGTGTGTGTGTGTGTGTGTGTTTGTGCAATTACCATTTGATACACCAATGGGGGGTTTACTGAAAGCCACCCCCCACTAGCCCACCCTGGGACATAAAGAATTTTCAAACAGGCTGTAAAACAAATGGTCTGGAAAAAAAATCCTGCGGTGGAAACATTTACTAAAATTTTGTGTGTGTGTTTTTTTTTAAAGAACCATCTGTGCTTCCTTGCTTATTTATTTAGTTTAAAATGTTGCTTCTTGTATTTGGGAAACTTGCCGTCCCTTTCTGATGCCTGCTCAGCTTGTTCTCTTTTTCCAGATGGCCCTAGTGGGCTCTTTCTTTCCTTAGAAACTGGTGCTCAAGTCCCCGAGGAGCTGCCTGGTTAGTTACAGCGAAGGATTTCTTAATTTCACTATCCCACACACGACACCAGAACACAGACAGAGTTAATGACTCCTGTCCTCTGAAGATGCCAGCCAGAGAGACTGGCGAAACGTTCGGAAGAAAAACCTCCAGAACACGGCCAAAGAGCCCGGAAAACCTACAACAACCATCATTTCTTAAGTGACCTGCTGTTTGCTGTTCTTGTGTACTTTTAAGGGGCTTCCAACTGATGGTGGCCCTCTAGTAGGGTTTTCAGGGTATGTGAGATATTTAAGTACCTGCCGTTTGCTGTTCTTGTGTATTTTTAAGGGGCTTCCAACTGATTGTTGTTGTTGTTTAGTCGTTTAGTCGTGTCCGACTCTTCGTGACCCCATGGACCAGAGCACGCCAGGCCCTCCTGTCTTCCACTGCCTCCCGGAGTTGGAGGTCTCCTGGAGTCTGGTGTGACACTCGATCTACATGGAATTCTAGCTCCCTCTCTAGTAGAGCCGTCCTCAGAATAATGGCCATCCTAGCACCCTCATTCTAATGCAGAAGGTGTGAGTTTTCTAAAAGAAAACCAAAATGTGCTGCTTATATACCGCCCCCTAGCCCTTAAAACTCTCTCTGGGTGGTTTACAGCTTAATTATGCAGGTGACACGTTCTCCCCCCACCCCCGTGAGGTTGGCACTCAATTTCCTGACCTCAGAAGGATGGGAGGCTGAGTGAACCTCGAGCCGGCTACCTGGGATTGAACCTCAGCCGTAGCCTTCTTCTTTCTTTTCTTTGCGAGATGTGAGACATGAACTGTTTTTATTTTTGGAAAAAAACCAACGGCCAAATCTCCAGTGTCAACCCAATTTAATTTCCAACTGATGGTGGTCCTCTAGTAGGGTTTTCAGTGTATGTGAGATATTTAAGGAGTGGTTTTCTCACACCACCCTCTAGAGAGAGTTTCCATGGCCGAGCAAGGATTTGAACCAGGTCTCCTGGAGTCTGGTGTGACACTCGATCTACATGGAATTCTAGCTCCCTCTCTAGTAGAGCCATCCTCAGAATAATGGCCATCCTAGCGCCCTCGTTCTAATGCAGAAGGTCTGACTTTTCTAAAAGAAAACCAAAATGTGCTGCTTATATACCGCCCCCTAGCCCTTAAAACTCTCTCTGGGTGGTTTACAGCTTAATTATGCAGGTGACACGTTCTCCCCCCACCCCCGTGAGGTTGGCACTCAATTTCCTGACCTCAGAAGGATGGGAGGCTGAGTGAACCTCGAGCCGGCTACCTGGGATTGAATTGGGGTCGTAAGTAGAGATTTGGCTGCACTACTGCAGTGTAACCACTGTGGTACGAGGCTGATTTTATTTATTTATTATTTACAATATTTTTTAGCCGCACCATCGCCAGTAGCCTACCATGGACAAGGTGGTAACGGGGCTTGAGAGAGAAGTCCGATTTGGCACAAGGGTTTTGTGGATCGTGGCCCAGAGATGTCACCAGAGTAGGCAGGGAGTTGAAATATTTAAGGGGCAAGCCCATGGCTCACCCGTGTCTTCCTCCCACTTTCCAACCTTCTCCACCCAACCTGGGTCCTCCGCCACCTGACATGCTTCACTAGGCTGGCATTTGATTTCATGCAAGACAATCCCCTGGCGTTCCCCCCCCCTCCACAAAGCCCAGCCTTGCTCTGGCACCTGGAAGAAGAAGAAGAAAAAAGCTCAGTTTCCTCAGCTTTTGGGCTCACCACGCTGATATTTGCACAGCTGGGTGGTTTCCTCTGGAAGGTGCGAGCAAGGTTCCCATCACCGGCGAGGAGGGCTTCGCTTTGCCGGGGGGGGGGGGGGGGGGCCGCCGTGGGCAGAGGGGGAGAAGGAACAACTTGAGCTTCCTTTCTTAATTGGGCCTCCTTGGAGAGGGTCTCTGGGGAGGGACAG